CTAGAAAAAAAAAAAAAAAAAAGCAAAGACAAGCAAGAAAACCAAGAGCTTGTTTTTGAAAAGAGTAATAAAGTAGGATAACTACTGGCAAGATGACTCAAGAAAAATGAGACAAGATGCAAATATATGATATGAACTATAAAGGGGGCTATAACTATAAATTCATGACAGATTTTAAAAGCCATAAGAATACTATACATAACATGTATATCTATAAAACTTAAACAAAATGAATAATTTTCCAAGTATGTAAATCTGAACAGTATGTAAGGTATAGTCCTGCATTTTATTAATTATATATTTATATGTAAATATTATCAAAGAAAAATGTTAAATATTTTGTAAGTGGTTAACTAGGGGATACAAATTTAGGAATTTTTATTATTTTTATCCATCTAAGTTTTCTAATTCTCAACAGTAAATACAGATTTTAAAACCCACTAAGGGCTGGTTAGGAAGGGATGGAGGAAGCCTCCAGGGGTCACACTGCCTTCAGGACACTCGGAGTTTACATTCTAGTGTCCCATCATGCACCTCTTGCTTTGGCAGTGATGTCCAGGCCGCCATGCTGTGTGATGTTCCCAAACCTATTCTCTACCCTTCCTTCTTCAGTGAGCTGTTTCTCCAACTTACAGGTTTTCTCACCCTAGGACAGAGACCCTTGCATCTATGCAGCCTTATCCCATTCCCCTGGACCATCTCCAGTCCCCCAAAGTCCAGGCTTTCTGGGGAGAAGAGGGCTGAGCACCCGGGCACAGATAGTGTTGGGCCTGGTCAAAGGACACAGGATGTTAGAGTCACAAAGACATGGATTCATATCCCTTGTCTGCCTCTTTCTGGCTTTATGAAGTTGGTCCTGTTCCTTAGCTTCCCTCATCTTTAGTTTGTTGGTGATAATGCCCATGTCCTAAAATGAGATAAAGAACACAAAGCAACCACCCTACAATGGGTGCTTAGTAAATGTGAGTTCTTGCCTTTACTGTTAGTTATTTGCCTGTGGTTATAACTAATTTACTAGTAAGCCTGGAGTGTTGGGAAAGGATGATTCACCTGTGTATTGCTATTGCTTAGCATGTGGGGCTTAGCATTCCTAAACTGGAGCATGGTTGGGGCAAAGAGTTGGAGAGGCAGCACGTATTCGCAATTAATCAGGTACCCCAGCTAAACACTGTGTTTCTGCTACCAGGAGAAACGGTAGCCAGAACCTTTCCACAGACTATAAACATTTTACTAAGGGAAGGAGGGTATGAATTTTCAGCTGATCGCCTAGAAGAATGTCAGGGTCCATGGAAGAGAACTGCTTTTTCTTTAGGGAACCACACACAGAGGCTAGCAGGAGGTGAGGCTGCCCCCTGCCAGACATGGTAGGGGAAGGCAGAGGATGAGAAAAGTCATGGAATGAGAATTTGAGAACTTTCTCCTGATGTGCTGGGGGAAGAGATGGCTGGGTGAAGGTCTGGACAGGCATGGGGTTGGCCAAGGCATCATGTCAGGTGGGTGGGAATTGAGAATTCAGTCTGAGCAGGAATTCGGAGTCACAGGAGACTTTAAATCTCCTTCTTACCCCATGCTAGTCATTCTTAAAAATTTGGGACATGTGCTAGATTTTCTGCTATTTGTGAGAATGCCTGAACCATTTGGGAAAAGAGGATTCCAGAAAGCCGGAGGAAATGGGGGATGTCCAGGTTGGCTGTGAAAAGTTGAGTAACACTCTCTCCATGGGCTGGGGGTCTAAAGAAATGACTGTTTCATCATTTCCTCTGAGAGCAGGAACTTGAGCTGAACTTTGCCACATTGTGTGGGACTTGGGTAAGATTTTGGCAGATCTTTCAGGGTCTTAGGATGAATCGGACCCTAAGAATCAACTTTAGTTCCTCATTGGTCTAAAAGTGCCTGTTTGCACTAAGGGTTTCTTTGGGTACTGCTGACCATTTCCTTCTCTGCAAATTTGGAGATTGCTCTTCTAAGAGGTGCTGCTCCTCCCACCTCTCTGGCTGCCTCTGCCACTCCTGCTCCTTCTTCCCTTGTCCCTCTCCTGGCAGCTTAAAGGGAGGCCCACTACCACTCCTGGGAGACTTCCCTGGTCTGGCTCCTCGCTCAGTTCATACTCACCACATCCATTCTCAAGGCTGTGCCTCTTCCATAAGGCGAGGGACTCTCAAGATGAAGGCCATAGTGGCTGTGTTTTGGATGCTCACTTCCCCATGAATGTCCTGAATGACTTCAACTCACAGTAACCGAAACAATGAGATGATCTCCCTCCTTCTCATCTATTTAGACTACCGATGGTCTGATGGCCTGACAATGCTCCTAGTCACCAGGACTAGATCCTTCATGGTGACAGGTAACTCCTGTCCTACCTCATCACCTGCATCTGGCCACCCACTCCTCTCCCACACTGTACTGCTGACTGAGTGGGCTCTTGGAGGGACTGTAGTTGACCCTTCTGTGTCTTTCTTAGGTATCAACCATTCCCATCCTTCCACAAACTCTTATCTTTGACTGTCCAAACCTTAGGGTGAGTGAGATATAATGTTTGCCCCCATGATGCTTTACCTGCTTCTCCAGCCCAGCATATTGCCCCTCTCCTGTGGACCCTCCACACCAGTTTACCCACATATTTTCATGTTGCAGAGCATGTTTTCTTTGTATCCTATTTACTGACATCTATGCAACATTCTTCCATCTACACTGTGAGCTCGGTGTCAGCAGGATGTTTATCTGATCCATCCCCTTTACTCCCTCAGGGTCTGGTACATGTTTGGGCCCCATAAGTGGGTTTTGTGGCCATCAACACCCTATGTGCATCCTTGCCTATCTCCCCAGCTTGTGAATAACTTTCTTGAGGACTGGACTAAGCATGATTCATCTCTGTGTCCATGACATCAGCTGAGCACTGTGCTGGCTTGACCTAAGTATATGATAAGTGTTGAATTGAATGGTTGAATGTAACCCCATTAATCATGTAGTGTTTACCGTACCTAGAAGAACTGTAACATTAAAAGTTTTGGATAAAGCAGGTGAGCCTTTATCCAAAGGATAAAGAGGGGTTAGAGATGGAGGAGGGACTCTAGGAGAATGTAGTGTGACAGGCTTTAGATGGAGGAAGCCTTTAGATGGAGAGAGGAATCAAGAAGACAACTGGTTTGACAGCATGGAGGTCTCTTGGAGGCTATGGAGAACCATTTTTCTTTGGGAGAAAAAGAACACAGGCCATTTTGGAGTACACAGAGGAGGAGATGAGGAAATGGAGAAAAAGAGTATTGATAATTTTTCAAGAACTTTGCCTATAGAGAGGAGGAGTTATAGAGAGGAGAATAGATATGAAAGTGGGATCAAGAGGGACTTTTCTTTTACAATGGGATACACCTGACTATGTATAAAAGCTGATGGAGTGGATAAAGAACTAAGAAACTTAACTACATAAAAAAAATTTTTTTGCATAATAAAAGCAGGTGAAACTCCTGGAAAGAACATTTGCAACACACCTAATAGGTGTAAAACATGGTTTGGACTATACAAACTGAGATGCAAAAAAAAAAAAAAAATGTTATTTTCTTAACTGCATTCAACGTCTTCTTCAGCCCTCATTTCTATTTGTAGGAGATAGCCCCATCAAAAACTACAAAAATTAGAATATCCCCTCAGGGTAACTTAGTTGTTTTTAATGTATTCATCCTTGAAACCCAGATCATCCGTTCTGTCTTCAAAGGATCCATTCCTTTTTGGTGCTTCACTTGACCTTTGTACATACTTCTATTGATCACCATCACACTGTTTGTGATTACATACAACACAGCTATGTGTCCAACCTGACCTTGGGTTTCTTGAGAGCAAGGACATTCTCAGTGTCTAATATATGCATGTCACCTGTGTATATTTGTTGACTCTTGGTCGATTAATAGTCATTTAAGTCCCCTGTGTGCTACAGTGTTTGGAGTATTAGGTGGGACTATTTCTGCATTTGTCACATTTCTAAAAATCATGTTGTAGTAATTAAATTTTTTGTTCCTGCTTGGGAGTTTTTTCAAGTCTCAAATTTCTCTTTGATTCCTCCTCCATCCACTCCTCCTTTTTCTCCTCTTTCTTTTTAACTGAAATAAGTTGAAATAAACAGAAAGATGCACAAAATTTAAGTGTGTAGCTCACTTAAAGGGCAGAGAGAGAGGGAGAGAGAGAATCTTAAGCAGGGTCCACACCCAGCGCAGAGCCAGAGGCAGGGCTCGATCTCACGACTCTGAGATCATGACCTGTGCTGAAACCAAGAGTCAGATGCTGAACCGACTGGAGCCACCCAGGTGCCCCACAATGAATTTTGACATGCATGTGCACCCAAGCGATCCCTCTCAGATCCAGACCCAGAACATTTTCTGGCCTCAGTGGGCTCCCTGATGCCCCTTCCTAGCCAGACTTCACTTTCTCCAAAGATAGCTACATTCTGATTTCTAGCACGATAGACTAGCTTTGCCTGTTTTTGAACCTCATGTAAATTGAATCATACAGCTTATATTCCTTTGGGTCCAACTTTTTTTGTTCAACCTTATGTTTGTGAGATGCAAACATGTTGATCGTTCTTTTTCATGGTTATGTTGTAATTTTGTATGAATGGTGATTACGGTTTTAGTACCAAACTGTTATTATTATTATTATTTTAGAGAAAAGGCCTTTCCTAAACCTAGACTAATATTTTGCTACAGATATGTTTGGTTTTGTAATATTTTTCCTATCCTAAATGGGTCACTAAAACATAAGTGAAAAGGTGTCCATTTTCAGAAAACATGATTAAAAAATATGCAAATAAAAATTAATAAATGCTTAATTTAGTTCCTTTCCATAGAGTTGGGCAAGAAGTTGATCTTCCAGATTCAGGGTATAGGACAAGGCTGAATGTTAATACTGGACCATGGGAATAGCAGGGAGTAGGCTTCTTGAGTAGAAAGCTCCCTGTCTGAACTGCTGTTTTATGTCTCCCCACCACTCCTTGCTTCAATGATTTCTAGTGAGATGAGTCAGAAAACGACTAAGGAGGGCCCCAGACTCTCCAAGAACCAAAAGCTTTCAGAACACTTCAGCATACGTTGCTGCCCACCATTCACCTTCCTCAACTCGAAGCGTGAGATCGTGGACCGGAAATACAGCATCTGTAAAAGTGGCTGCTTCTACCAGAAGAAAGAAGAGGACGTGATCTGCTGTGCTTGCCAGAAGACCAGGTAAGTGGTCTGCACTGCCCACTTGGCACCTGGCTGGGCACTGGCCTGCGATCTCTCAGCAACACGCCCCCCTCCTGTTCCGCTCTGGTGATTTCTGGGCTGCTCTTCCCCCAGTGCCCTGCAGTCCACTCCCTGTTAGGTTCTGCCACTGGAAGGTACTGGAGGGCTATCAGAAGGTGGGAGGGGGAGCAGGGCCTGCCTCCCTGTTTCCAGCTCCTGTCAGTATCCCTTAAGCAGCAGAAGAGAGCCATGGCTCCAGCCTCCAGCTTCTTTTGGCCCCCTCAGCCCCAGACGCCGTGCAACGTCCCCTCAGAGGCCCAAGCACCAGCCTGCTGCACCCCCCGCGGTGGTCAGAGCACCAGCCAAGCCACGGTCCCCTCCGAGGTCCGAGCGTCAACCACGCCCCCGCCCAGAGGTCCGACCACCACCAGCCAAGCAGCGCCCCCCTCAGAAGTCCAAGCAGCCGCCACGCAGCAGCCCCCAGAGAGGGCCAGGCACCAGCCGTGGGGGGTCCCCCATCAAAGCTTCTAGGTTCTGGTAACACCATCTTTTCCCTTTTGTTCCCCCAGCCCTAAGGTTAGTAGCTGCCTCCTGTGTTTACTAACATCTGGTTTACCTCGATGGTCCTCTCTTGGCCTTACCAAACCTGTGTCAATTCCTTGCATTAAATCCCCTCCTATGAAATACCTAGTGTGGCTTGTGTTTTCCTCATAGAGTTGCCGGAACAGTACTTCAGATGGCAGTATCCATTGCTTCTTTTGTCTAGGCGGACTGCAATTGATTAATTTATCAACTGAGATATCCACCCCAGTAACAGATTGTGAGACTGAGGCCCTCCTTTGCTGTGCCTTGGAGAGAGGAGGAAGGGTGACTCTAGGGATATTTGTGCATGTGTAAAAATGGAGAGGTTCAGCCAGCTCATTCATCCATCCTCCTGACAGACTTCGTCTGATGTTAATCTCAGTGACAAGATCATTCATTCATTTATTCAGTCATTCAACAAACTTGATTGCATACCATATAGAGTTCCCTATCATGCAGGGGGTTGGGAATACAGCAGTGAACAAGCTAGGTTGTGACTCACCAGGATGAAACAAGAGAATAGTTGGTCAAAGTGTAGGGCATGATTGCCATAATATTGTCATAATCAGTAAGTACACTGGGCTATGGGAGCCTGGAGCAGGCTGCCCATCTGGGGCCTCAGAGAGGAGGTTAGGCTAGGGTAAGCAGAGAGTAAAAGGAGGCCTTGCAGAGAGAAAAGGTGAACAAAAGACATGTTTGTCTGTCCCATCTGAGGCAGGTCAGCTTTCTTCTTCTTCTTCTTCTTCTTCTTTTTAATAGACTTCATTTTTAGATCCATTTTAGGTTCACAGCAAAATTGAGTAGAGGGCACGGAGATTTCCCATATACTCCCAGCCCAAACACATGGCAGGCCAATCTTTTAGTCCTTTTAATATTTGGAAATGAAGCTGTTTTGCAGGTTAATAGTGGGTGCTAATTGTATTTGAGATTCTCATACCTACTCTGCATAGCATGTTACCGTGTGTGCATGTCATGGGCTGTTTACCAGTTTACTATGCAGAGGAATCAACTCAGGAGCATGTTAAAGATGCCCCCAGAAAAGCTAATTCCTTGGGTCACTGATGAGGTCTGGAGAAGTGCATTTCCAACAAGCAGCACCTCTGCCCCAGTATAGTGACACAGGTAGTACACAGACAACCCTTTGAGAAGCACTGATCTAACCCATCCATAAATAAATGATCCACATTATCTGTAATGCACAGTAAAGACATGTGGAAGGTGCCACATATATGACACTAAAAGTGAAAGCATTAAAAAGATGCAAGATCAGGTGAGGTTAATTTGTGAAGAAGGTAAGAGGCTGCCAGTCTTTAACCCTGAAATAGGGAGTTGTATGCCGGGTTACCTAGTCATTAATCAGGGTCTCCCACGGGGCCTGAGTCCAAGGGGGCTGGCCAGGTAAGTTGTGATATATGGAAATGGTTAGGAAGTGTGAGTAGCAGAGGAAACTAATTGGATACCTGGCACATCATCTGTGGGGGTGGCTTCAAGCCACATTTGCAGTGAGTTGCATGATGGCTGCTTGGGTGGCTGGAGTTCATGCCCGAAATAGATGCAAGACCATGAAGGCCAACTTCATCTGTCTGCACCCAGCCTGCTGGTTTTATTCACCTAAACTCCAGAGACATTCTAATGTTGGTGTAACTTGATTCCCTCAGTTAACTGTTCTTATTAGGTATCAGGCTGTCCGTGCCTCCTCAGTCCTTTTTGCTCACCAGGAGCCGGGGACCTGAAAGTCTCTGTTCATAATGGTCCACAACATTGAGGATGCACCATTTGAGCCCTTCTCAAGACACTCATTTTTCCTTCTCAGATTCCCAGAGGTCCTGAGGAAATGCATTAGAGCCATTGCTTTGCCACATTGTTTACTCCCTCTGTTGATATTGGTTGGCTGTTCCCAAATCAAAGGGGTGGGAAGGTTAATGGGAAAGAAAATGCACTCTTAAGCAGAGCTACTAAATTGCACTTGGAGAAAGGGTCAAAAAAGAGATTCTGAAGCAGACTCTCTGAAATGTTGCCATTCCTGAGTTCTGACCTTTAAAGGTTAAGCAAATATTGACAAAGGCCTATTGGATCCTTAGTAGCTCCCTTGGATAGATCTCAAAAACCAGAGAATATTTAAATCTTAGGATCTGATGGGTGAAATTCCTTTCAGCCTGATTGAACATGGTAGCATTCTTGTATCTGATGGGAGGAAACCCTGGCATCTTCCTCTTAATTTATTCTACTTTCAATTCCTCAAGATTTTAGGATTTCACAGGTCATCCTTGCCTTTAGGTTTAATATATGTTTCCTGGGCCAAGCCTCTCTTGGCTCCTCAGTGCTCTGCTTTAGGTGCAGGGGATCTATGGTTTTGTGATTGATTTGCAGCCAGTCACACAACTTTGAGCAGTACCATGTGTGCCTTTGACTCATTCTTTCACAAAATGTCTTGTACCAAATTGAGCCCTGCACACCGGAAGCTTGGAGGACCAACCTATATCTACATGTATTTGCAAGCCTATTCATCAAGATCATGTGCACAGCACGGCACCAAGCTCTGGGCAATCAAAGGAAATGATGTATGCCCCTGGTCCAGCTGCTCATGGTATTTATGAGTGGCTCCTCCCTCGGTGATGCTGCTCTTCCCTCCAGGAACCACCCCGAGCTTGGCTGCTTCCATCCTGCCTGGTCCCTGCCTGATCCCTTTCCTCCTCCAGCTCCTTTTTTACCATCTTGTCTCATTTCAGCAGATGATAAAATCAAAGCCCAGGAAAGTAACTGATTGCTAGAGGGTTAAGGTTCTAAGTGGTTTCAGATTCTCCACAGAATTTGGTCTTTCAGAGACAGAGTGCTTTAGCTTTGAGTCTCAAATTGAAGCAAGCAGGGTTTGGTGTTTTACTGATCATGCATTGTCCTGAGCTAGGCATGGCAGTGCATTGCTTCTAAAGGTTAGGACAAGCACACCCACTGAATGACAACATGCTGGTTACATTGGTAATGGAGTAGAAACCATTCTATGTACACACACACACACACACACACACACACACAGTTTTGAGTTTGTTTGGAATCATCAGGACTGCCAAACAACAATGCAATTATAAACACTTACATACTTGACAAGCTAGAATTTACTTCTGAAGAGCACTTACCCAGAGCAATTACTCTGATGGTCTGATGGTCTGAGAGTGTGCACTGACTGAACCAGGTATTGGGGCTAAGCTTCAGCTGTCAGATGGGGGTAACTGTCTCCTTTCCAGGTGTGCAGGCCCAAACTTATTCCAGACACTTTCTATGACATGACTTGTCCTTGCTTTGTCCTTCCTGATGCCAAAAGGTACACCCTGCACTTTGTTCTTCTGGAAAACCATGGATCATTTTCTCTTTCTTTGCACAGGACTGGCTAAACTAGCCCTTCTGGTCCCTTTTCTGAGCCCTCCTTGTATTTATACAAGCAAAAACACTGACTTTGTACTCATGTATTAGAAAGATTTTATTTCTTACATGCTTGTGGAAAAACCCCACCCAGACATATATTATGCTTAATTGTATCCCAGTGTTTACACCCTGGCAATCTATTTTTGGTCTCATCAGCCAAACAGAATCAGAAATTCATCTATCAATGTCCAGGTAATGGCAGAGTTAGGGAAAGAGCCTGAGTACTTTGCTCTTAGATCAGGCTCTGGTGGTTCTGCCTGCTTCTCAGATTACATTATTGCTTTTATGAGTTTGGATGACTGAACTCTTGGGTCTTGCCCTACCTAAGTCATAAATCCCTTCCTGTCCAGGAGTAGGCTTCTACACATGACACATATCATAGTGCCTGTGTAGAGCAGGCACTCACAGAGGCCTGGGTTAGCCAGAGAGGTCTCTGGTTCCATGAGCTGTGTGCATTCTTCCATTCTGACAACTCCTGCCTGGTCCCATGTCCTTAGTCTAGACCACATGGTTAACCACTCTCTCTAACAGCCTTAATGCCATTGCTGTTCATCATCCAGCCACACTCATCACACAAATCCCTCACCTAGATCAAGTTGATGATCCATGTGCACTATTCCAACTTCCAGCTGCTGAGCTCAGTCATGGATGCAGAGAGTTGCTGATCACAGCTAGGAAAAGCCTATAGCCTTAAGGGTTGGTGCTACCAGTGGAGGAGCACCTGCCTCTCTCTAGACTAGTTTTCCTCCACCAGCCCCAACATGTTTATCAGGATATGCATCTGTCTTTCAATCCTTCCTTTTAGCCTCAGAAGAGGAAGCATTTTTTCTTGATCAGATCAACCCCTCCTTTCCCCTACTCATGCATGATCTGTGTGATCTTCCTCCCCCCACTCATGTTTCCTCCAGGGTCTTGCTGAACCTCTCTGACCACTTCAGCCTTTTTCTATTGTCTAAAGAGAAAGCACTTTAGCTTTTAAACATGTTCAGCTGTCTCTTAATGACTGAATTCACCTCTGGCCCTGTCCTGTCTCTCCTCTTCTCAGGCAAATTTTTTTTTTTTTAAAGATTTTATTTATTTATTTGACAGAGAGAGAGATAGTGAGAGCAGGAACACAAGCAGGGGGAGTGAGAGAGGGAGAAGCAGGCTTCCCGCCGAACAGGGAGCCCGATGTGGGACTCGATCCCAGGACCCTGGGATCATGACCTGAGCCGAAGGCAGATGCTTAATGACTGAGCCACCCAGGCGCCCCACTCTCAGGCAAATTTTTAAAAATAGTTTAAATTCATCACCTTAACTTCTCTACATTGCATTTACTCTTCAACTTACTGTGATTTGATTCTTCCCATAGCACCTCACTGGAATTTCTCCTGCCCCCTATTCCCCATCCTCCACCTTTGGCAACCATCAACCTGTTCTTTTTATCTATGAGCTTGGTATTTGTCTTTGTCTGGCTTATTTCCCTTAGTGTAATGCCCTTAAGGTATATCCATGTTGTTGCAAATGGCAGGATCCCATTCTTTTTTTTTATGGCTGAACAATATTCCATTGTATATATAAACCACAATTTCTTTATCCATTCATCCATTCATCCATCAACGGACACTTAGGTTGTTTCCATATCTTGGCTATTTTAAATAATGCTGCAGTGAACATGGAGGTGCATATATCTCTTCGAGTTA